GCCAGAAATAATGATAGTGAAATAATATTTGAAGGCAGGACGGTAATCTGGATGAACAGATGAAGTTTTCAGGTGGACTTTTTCCACTTAAAAACACATTAAAACTACTTTTTACCCACTGATCAGAGCAAATATAGCTGCCATTGTTCCAGGAAAAGAAAGGATAGAGTAGCTCCGCCCAACACGCATCAGAGCCGCGCAGCTAGAGCAGCAAAGATGCTTCACCAGCGCATCAAAACTAAACTTGTACAAGCAGCAAAAATGAAGCAGCACGTTTTCGCTGCTTCTGCTGCATCCGATCTGAACGTTTAAGTGCGCCTCCTGGTGGACAAATGAATGATTAAATCACTTCCAGTTTCTTAAAGTTCAATCTTATCCACTCCTAAAAATAATAACTTTCACATATTGCCATCCACCTAATGTCTGTACCGTGCTCGTCTTTGCAGCCGCTGCAACAGCTGCGTTTTTGGGATATAGACCAAAAAGCACCAATGTATACACAGTGGAGAACATGCAAACACTCCACACACAACCCTGGCTTCAAATCCAGGTCCTTCTTGCTGCATGACAACAGAACCTCTAACCCTGCAGCTCACTGTTGTTAAACAATCAGATTTTATAATGAACTTAGCAAGTCTAACACTTTGTTCTCCGGTATAGATGTATTTTCTTCCCTTCAAATATTCACCAGAATAAATATTAAACCTGCAGAGATATTGCAGCAGGTTACCTGTTTTTATTTGGCTGTAGCTGCTGTTATCCAGCTTCCTTTCTTCCTCTGAGCAGAAAGCCCGTTCTCGCCACCTGCGATTAAAAACAAAAGTACGTTTTTATTTGCGTGGGTTTTTAGATTTTATCCAAGCAGGAGACGGATGGAAACCAATCATTTGTGCAGGTAATAAACCCAAGTGGAACGGTTCACCTATGAAAGTAGAAGATTATGATGACCAACAGGAGGGAGAGGACATCAGTGAGAATCCACATCAGTCTGTATTCTTCTGGACTCTGAGACACACAGACAGGACTGTCAATCACAAGAATTTAACTTTTTTTTTTTTGCAGAAGAATGTAGAATAAAACTCGATGACGTGTGTTGTGATTTGGTCCTATATTCAATTCAGTTTAATTCAGTTTATTTATATAGCACCAATGAACACTACACTGGAAAAAATCACAATCTAGATAAGTAATTTTTTCTTAAAATAAGTGAATTTGTTCTTGGATTGAGGAGGTAAAAGAGACATCTTGCCAATAAAACAAAACAATTTAGACTTAAAATAAGAAAACAATTGATTTGTCTTATTTCAAGTGCATATTATCTAATTATCTTATTTTAAGAGTAAAAATACTCATTCCATTGGCAGATCATCTGATTTACATACTCAAATTAAGGGTAAATACACTTAATTTAAGAAATGTTGACCTATTTCTAGATTGTTTTTGCAGTGTATATTTCACTATATTTCTGTTCCTATGAACGCGATACGTCTCACCAACAGCAGTAGCACCCTCTAGTGGCTGTAGATCACAGCATCTCATCATCTGATCTGCAGCACTGGACTGCTTTATAAATTAACTGAAATAAATTAAATGATGTGTTGCAATGGGCCAGTCAAGGTCCAAATCACTACATGATTGAAAAGCTGTAGAGAGACCTTCATGGGGCTGAGCAGAAATTAATTCATGCAAACCTTAATTACCCAAAGCAATGCAGGAAATAAAATTAGTTTAAACATCTGCACAAAGAACCTGACCGCTTAGAGTCACTGCAGCCTCCTAAATCATGGGCTCTACTTAGTTTATCCACAGAAAGCTTTGTTCATTGCTTAATATTTGTTTGATAACTAATAAACACAGACAGTATGGTTTATACTTAAAATTAAATATTTAATAAGGTTAAAACCAGAAAAAAAAGGTTTTGTTTTGCTAAAGATCTAAAACCTTAGAACTGAAATAATTTTTAACATGACTGAAATCAAACATCTTCCAAAATGAGATTTGTTTTTTTTACAGTGACAATAATTTCAAATGTTTCATTTCCACTTTTAATGATAAATCTAAGGACTCCTTTCCAGGCCTGATCCTGGATCCTTGCTTCTCCAGCCTGGACCCACAGAGAATGGTTCTATAGAGTGGACCAGAAAGCTGTTTCAGGGTTCCTACA